TCTTCCCCGAGGATGCTGGGCGGCACTGGGGAGGGGGCAGAGGGGCTATCTCAGCAGGTGGGGGGGCAGCAGGATGGAGCCAACACCCTGAGCCGCAGCCCTCTCATCCCCCCCTCAAAGACCTCCTGCGCCGGCCTCAAAAGGAGGCCCAAGGCCCCAGGTCCGGGGGGGTCGGTGGGTTGTAACAGCGGCAACCTCCCGAGTGACGGCACTTCAGGACAAGACATTACCTCCGAGGGACAGTGGGGGAAGGGACTCGGGATTTCTCTGTATTATTTCTTGCAACTCACGTGAATCTACAATTATCTCAAACTCTTTTTAAGATTTACAGTATTTTAATTTTTTTAAATGTGTTTTCAGAAGCAGGACCCCAGCCACCTTTCTCCTGAGACATGAACAACCCTGCAGAGGAGGGTCAAGAAGGCAGGGTCGGGAGTCAGAGGCCCTGGCTGGAGTCCTGTGACCTGACACTTGGTCACTGTGTGATCATGAGGGTAGCCACTGGGTGGGGCCACCGGGTGGGGCCACCGGAGGTTAACTGCAATGACACAGGTCGCTGAGCACACGATGCCTGCAAACTATTATCCGGACGCCAGCGACGGGAAGAGCTGGAATGGAATGCTCCCCCCAACCCCACCCCAGGCTCTACATTTCCCAGAGTTCCCTTGTGCACCTCCAGAGACTCCACAGGATCCCATACGAGGACATTTTAAAACCAGAGCAACTGTCACTGTGTTCTCTGAGTGTGGTGAAGTCCGAGACACCTTGGAAGTGGGTGCCATCTTCGCCCCTTTCCCAGAGGAAGACACGGAGGCTCAGAGAAGCGCAGTGACTAGCCCAAGGTCACGGCCACAGGAAGTGGCGGAGGCAGGATTTGAACCCCAGATCCATGCACTCCAGAGCCGGTCCCTAACCACCACCCCACACCACCTTGCCCAAATGTACTGTCACCCCCACTTGACCCAGGAGAGTGAAAACGTCCGATTCCTGACTCTTGGCCGTGTGCACCTCCTGCCACTTCGTGCCCCTTCTACCTCTTCCCTGAACTTGGGTCACCTGGTCGAGCGGGGCCACCCACCTGCCCCCCTGTCCATAATAGGGGAGCTCTCACTCCAACTGACCCCACAGGAAGGCAGCCACGGTCTCAGGCCGGCATGTCTCCCACCCAACCACCCTTCCTTTGAACGTGACCAGACACCCCCAGCCCCACGTCCTTGAGCCGCGGCCTCTGGGGCCTGACACTCACCGTGGACGTGCAGGGCGATGTCCCGGCGGTCCTCGCCCACGGCGCTCACGGCCACGCAGGAGTAGGTGCCAGAGTCGGAGGCCCGGGCACTGGCCAGCGTGAGGGTGCGGCCCCCGGGAAAGACCTGCCCCCCAGAAGGAAGCCCACGTGAGGTTATGCACCCCAAGGCCAGCTCCCACACCTCCCAAGCTGGCCCTGCTGCACGGCACGCCTCCTCGGCAGCCTGCTCCGGACGCCCAGAACCCCCAGGCCTCGGCACCTCTGCCGGCCGCCGGGCGATCACATGGGTCCTTTAAAAGGGCCCCCTGTAGTGTGCCTCGCCAGCACGGCCAGGGGTGAACCTGAGTGGGGCGGCTGAAAGGCTTAGAAAAGACAGACAAGAGAATGAAAGCCGGGTCTCGGTGGGACGCTGCTTCTCTGAGAGACAGCGCCAGCGCCCACAGCCCTGTCTTTATTTTATAGCAGATGCCACGAGGCAAAGTAAGGGCGTGACCAAGATGTTTACAACATTCTCCTGGGTTTCAATCCTACTCAACTACATGCACCTGAACTCTATCAAGCCCACATCACTCAGGCACGTGGGGCCACGTGTTCGGACCATAGGTTCAAGCTCACAACTACAGCTGTTGGCTATAATTGTGCTGGGAGGGCCCTGCCCTCCAAGCTGGAACTTGCACGTGGCCATGAGAGGACTGTGCCCTCTCATTAGTCCGAGGCTTGAACCTGTCCAAACACTGTAGCGGCGCCCCACGCTGTAGCTTCGCTGTGGCTAGTGAGCCCTTGGGAGGCAGCCGGCACGCGTAGGATACACAGGGGGTTGAGAGGTCAGTACGAAAAGAATGCAAAACGTCTCGTTAATCACTTTCCATATGGATGATGATGAAATGATGCTTTTTGGATATACTACTGGGTTAACCAAAATGTCTATTAAAATTGCTTTCACCTGTTTCTTCTTACTCATTTCCTGCAGCTACTGGGCATTCTAACTCACACGCTTGTGGAGGCCTGTTTCTGGAGACTATGCTTGAGACTCTTCGCTTAGCAGTCCCTGCCCCGCTCCCACCAACCGTCCTGGGCGGTCACTGCTTCTCCCTCCCCTTGGAGCTCCCAGGGCCGGGCCTCTGCTCCCAGCACCTCCTGAGGCGGCAGGGAGGTAGCGGGCCACCCAGCCCTGCTGACCTGGAGGCCGGAGGTCCCTGCCGTGGACACAGGGTTTCCATCCTTCAGCCACAGCAGGGTGGGGCTGGGGC